CTGGCCACTCCAGGCTTGTATTAAACTCCCAAGGTTGCAGCTTTTCTCTGACCTTGGCTGGGTAAACGCTGCCATCACTCAAGTGAAAAACTGCCTCTTGCAAATCCTTGAAACACTCACTTGGGAAACTTTCCCTGAGGCCCCTCGGGGCTTTTCCACTCCTCCCTTGGGGAAGCCGAGAAAGAAAACAAGCAAAAGGGAAACCCAGCTGTTGCTACCAGCTAATTGAAAAACATATGCACAGACCTCTTAAGACACAAAACCAATCAGGTTCTTAAAAAAGGTAAATTTTTATTCAAAAAAAGAAGAAAGGAAACACAAATGGAACATCAGGCTTTTGCTAGATTTTATAAAGCAACCGAAAAGGGTTTAAACACCAGGAATGGCTCCCTGGGGTCCAGCTTAACCTTACAAAAGAAAACAAAGATACCTGAGCTGAGCACAGAGGAAATCCACAAGCCAAAATAAAGAAATAAACCTGATCGCGTCTCTCTAACCATTCCCTTCCCAATGGAAGATGATTTTTCATACCTGGTCCAAACATTACACAGCATTCCTTCTCCCCGTCTCTTCGGCCCAGAGAGAACAACCGAGAGACAAAGGGAAAGATTTCCCCCCATTTTAAAGCGCTCTAGCCTTCCCATTGGCTCTTTTTGGTCAGGTGCCCACTCCCTTTCCTTTACCTGGGGGACTTATTTTTAACCCTTTACAGGTAAAGCAAGCAGAGAACAGACACCAACAGGGACTTTATAGCTAACTGGCTGGCTGGGTGTCTATAAAAGGGAGCTACCCCCCGCTCCATTTAGCACAGAACAGAACTCCATTCCCTTACCAGCTGTAGTGACAACCTCATTCCGTTGGAATGAACCGGCTGGATCAAATCTGTGCTGGGTCCATTTATGGACACTTCCTCCCATCAGAAAACCATTGGGATCTATTGTGAGAACATTTCTGTGACCTCAGCAGGACCCTTGAAAATCCCTGATCGGCTCTTTCAATATAAACATGGTGAACTGCATAATTTCTTTGTCTTGGTTTCGTGGGGGGTTTTGCTAATGATTTTGCAGTTCTTGGCATCACCCGTGAGTGCTGTTGTGATAACTGGGCCTAGAAATTTACCCTAATTGTGAGCTTAACTGAAAAAAGGGAGTAAAAGTTCAGAAAGTGGCACAATAACCTATCACAACAATCGCTGATGGGAAAAGGTAGAAAAGGGAGACAGACAGATTGAATTAGTCCAAATTAAAGGCCTCCTGATGTAACTCAGTGGCTGTGTTAAGATCGTGCCTGATAAACAAAAGAAGTGTGGGAACGGGAATGTGTCAGACATCAGGCCTAACTGGGGAACAAAATAATGAGGGGATGGGTTATTCCACCCATCACTCGCTTTTGGGGTCCTTAATAAAAGAGACTTAAGGAGGAAAATTAGCTAAGGGGTGTTGACTAACGTATGCTGGCTAGCATATAAATCTATATCATATTAATAATATGTATTATACACGCCCTATATTATATTCATATGCATTAAGCACCAATAACTTTAAGCACAAATATTATAACAGTGATATAGCCTAAACTGGCCTAGCCCATAATCCTATGCACTTATGCCAAGTATCCCAGAACACCCTGCATTTGCTGAAGCAAGCGTTTGGCACAAGCAGATGGGAAACTTGTCGAAATCAGGATACATTCATTTTATCTCCTAGTACAAGCTTGGGAAGAGCCCTCAAGGCTGAGTGCGTGGAATGCTCGTATCTAAAACAAAGATAATGAAGGAATGGAACCAGCTAGCCTGGGACAAACTGATGGGTTGGATTTGAGCGCTGTGTAAAGAGATGTGTAACGTGCGAGATCGTATAAATAATCCCAGCTGAAATGTGTAACTTGGGGGGCACAACTTCTGCGTAAAGTGAATGTAACATCACTGCACGGGGCAGCTCTTCGGAGACTGGCATCACATAGAACCTTCTTCCTGTACCATATTCATAAACCTGACGGACCCTGGCTATCTGGTCTCTTGAGTATATTCCATAATGAACCAAAGTGTGGTCAAACAACAGACTCTGTAATATATCAACAGGGAAAATGAACACAATTGCTGATGGAAAGAAGGGGAAGGAGCGTAATTCACCATCAGGACTGCCACCCGCGCCATCTCCTGGGACCCCAGGGTTTACGGTAACTCTTTTGGGCCTTGGTCGCCCTGACTCTGACAGATGTCTTGACCAGACTGCACCAGAAAGAGATCCAGAGGACATCCCCACCTCCACCAGCTTTGGCTGTATCACAAACAGCCGCTGGGACATGAAGCTTTGTAACACACCACCTCCTTCAGGGGTCCTTTTTCTTCCCTACCTTCTTTCTTTTCTTCTCTATCCCTCCCCTTTTTCCCTCCTGTCTAATAAGAGTCTGGCTGAGCCGGCCAAGACAGTATATTTTGAACACCGCTGTAAGCCTGTGAGCAGCGAGGCAGATAAAAGCGATGTCCTAAACAGCCCGACGCTGGTACGAGTTTGCCAGGTCTTGGACTGGCTGGTAGGATCAATCGCCATGCGTGTGCTTTTCCCGCAGTGAGATTCCAGGTAAACCAGACCCAGACGCCGCATTTTCTATCTTGGCTGTTCTTTCCTCTTCCTCTTCTGCTTTTTCTCGTTGTCTCTCTTATGAAAAGGGACAATAGCTCCAGCCCCGCTCAGCTAACGTCTCATTTCCCCCAACAGGGCAGTTCTGACCATCTTTGATACAGCTAAGAGACTGTCAGATAAGGCCTGTTTCCCTTCTAAACACTCTCACCAGCGAAAGGGAAAGGGACCAGGGATGTTGTTAAACCAAAAACCTTATTCAATACTTTCCATTTCAAATGCTTTCATTGTTTTTCCTTCTTTTCTGTATCTTCAACAAAGGGTTACAATGATTTTGAATGGCGTGTTTGCCCTGGTATTTAGCAGGATGACGGTCTCTGAATACCATGCCCTGACCGTTGTTTAGCACTGTTTCATGCTGGACAGTGACTGGGTCATGTTAACACCTCTGAATACAACCATGCTCCTTGCGATTTTCCTGACATGAGATATATTACTGCCCTCCTGTGGCATGTGATAGCCAATGTACCTACATCACTTCTTGTTGGCCCACAGT